ACGTGCCCTCAAGTTCATCAAGAAAAGGGTACGTGTTGAATTTTTCAAGTTTGTCTCATTGGTGTTCCCAGTCAAGGATGACCCGCCTCTGAGAAATCACTTGGTCAACTGGTTTTCTTCCAGTTAGCACAGGGTTTGTATTTCTTTTAGGATCCGATTGATCATAAGCCTCGATGATCTGAGCTTATGCTCCTCAGTTTTTGAGGGAGTACTTCCTAAATGATCCACAAATAAAGCTTCTTTTTTTTTTTTTCACTCACGAGCGCATCAATGAGGCCTGCGTTCAGGCAGCTCCAAAAAGAACTACAAAACCCGTCCTAACTGGAAGAACACAAACAAAAAGATTGAATCCAATAATATAGCACAAGACATTTATAAGCAATTTTGTTACACCACAAGTGTAATAAAGTGGGAGGAAATGTCCCTAAAAAGAAAAGAAAAAGCTAGTTTTTTCCTATCATACCTTGTGTAAGCAAAGTCAGAACGCTTTAGTCACATCACAAATAAAATACACTTTTTAAATTTGTTATATATTGGTTAATATATCATGCTTGGAACAAAACATTTGAAGCAACTTTAAAATGTTTTAAACCATTTGTACAAAATCTGAAAAAAGATGGTATTGTTGGAACGAGAAATGAGATTTTGCCATTTATTTATTTTTTAATAACTGAAATCTTTAGTTCAGATTTTGTTCTCAGATACTAAAGGTTGTCATTTTAGATTCGAGATGCTGTTTGAGTTAGATTTTATTTTTTGTACGTTAGATTGCATTTTATTATTTGAGTTAGATTTTATTTAATTATTGCATATCTTTTTTAAGATCTAGATTTGTTTTTGAGTTTGCGTAATTTTGTGTAGTTTTTATTAGGTTTTTTAATGCGTTCGTGTAGTTTTCATTCATTTTTTTTCTTCAGTTTGTTATTTTAGTAAGTTAAACTAGTTTATGTATATATATATATGTGTGTGTGTGTATATATTATTTAGCACATCAAGCTGCTGTTGTAGCACCAGCACAATATCCTGATGATCTGGTTGTTGTTTTTTCATATTGTGCGTGTGTGTGTGCGCGCGTTGCAGGTGGGAACTCACATCCGCGCCAAGAGAAAGAGGGAAGAGCTCAGCAACATTCTGGCGGCGATGAGGAAAGCTGCTGCCAAGAAGGAGTAGCCTGTATTATGACGAATAAATTTGTGTGTAAAAACAAGCTTGTGTCTCCTGTGCTTCATTGTTACTTCAGAGTTACTCATACTTGCAGTATGCTTGGCTTATTTAAACACTTCATGATCCACGGCTTTGACCACAGCATTTTTGCAATACTGAAGAAACTGGAATTAAGTGCATTACCGTGTCATTCACATACATTCTTAGACTATTTACTGTACAAATATACATTTTAAAGAAAAACTCAATAGATACTAGTTGAAACTTTGTGGGGCAAAATTATATTGAAACAATCATATTGCATTAAACCTGCAGTAAAATGTTTGTTTGGAAACACAGTGTGGTCTTCGTCTCTGCTAGCTTACAGCAATGGTCTTTTCCTTGATTCCTCCAACAGGCAGGATCTTCCCGGTCAGGGACACTTCTCCCGTCATGGCCACGTTCTGACGCGCTGGTGTGTTGGTGGCCAAGGACAGCAAAGCAGTCACAATAGTGCATCCGGCACTCGGCCCGTCTTTGGGAGTTGCACCCTGAACAGATTCCCAGCTTTAGTTATTACAAGAAACAACACTTTTTAACACCTACTTGAAGCTTCGACCTTGCACTCCTGGAGGGACACCTTCCTTTAACACACCCGAACAAGCCAATTAACGTCTTCGGGATTATTAGAAACTTCCAGGCAGGTAGAAGCCAAACTCTGTAGAGAAGGTGGCCCACCAGGAGCAGGAATGGACAACTCTGGAACAATTGGCAGTCGCTGTTGTCCCAACTTTAAATGTTTCAAGAAACAAACAGCTGTTTAAAGGGATAGTTCACCCAAAAATTAAAATTACCCCATGATTTGCTCACCCTCAAGCCATCCTAGATGTATATGATTTTATTCTTTCAGACAAATACAATCGGAGTTATATTAAAAAGTGTCCTGGCTCTTCCGAGCTTTATAATGGCAGTGAATGGGTATTGAGATTTTGAAGCCCAAAAAAAACCTGCATCCATCCATCATAAAAAGTGCCTCACATTGCTCCGGGGGGGTTGATAAAGGCCTTCTGAAGTGAATCATTTGTGTAAGAAAAATATCCATATTTATAACTTTATAAACCATAATCTCTATCTTCTGTCGTATAGGGTTGTAACGATATTCAAAGCGATCCGGCCAATAAAGTACGAACCGTGGGTGGTGTATCGCGGTTTTTTTTCCGGATTGGTTTGACCTGCATCCATCCATCATAAAAAGTGCCTCACATTGCTCCGGGGGGGTTGATAAAGGCCTTCTGAAGTGAATCATTTGTGTAAGAAAAATATCCATATTTATAACTTTATAAACCATAATCTCTAGCTTCTGTCGAATAGGGTTGTAACGATATTCAAAGCGATCCGGCCAATAAAGTACGAACCGTGGGTGGTGTATCGCGGTTTTTTTTCCGGATTGGTTTGAATATCGTTACAACCCTATACGACAGGTTAGCAGAAACTAGAGATTATGGTTTATAAAGTTTAAAATATGGATATTTTTCTTACACAAACGCATCGATCTGCTTCAGAAGGCCTTTATTAACCCCTCGGAACCGTGTGAGGCACTTTTTATGATGGATGGATGCACTTTTTTTGGGCTTCAAAATCTTAACACCCATTCACTGCCATTAAACAGCTCGGAAGAGCCAGGACAGTTTTTAATATATCTCCGATTGAAAGAAGAAAATCATATACACCTAGGATGGCTTGAGGGCGAGTAAATCATGGGGTAATTTTCGTTTTTGGGTGAACTATCCCTTTAACATCTACTTTAACCTCATACTGCAGGGTTGTCCAACCGCACTCCTGGAGGGCCACTTTCCTAATTCAACACACCTGAACAAGTCTTCAGGAATACTAGAAGCGTCTGCCAGGAATACTAGGAGCCAAACTCTGCCGAAAAGTGGCCCTCCAGGAGCAGAGTTGGATAACTCTGGACAAGTGTAATCTTCATCTCAGGCATGGCTGTTTAACACCTATTTGAACTCTCTTTTCCAATCGTTGTTGTCCAATCGTGCTCCTTGAGGCCCACCTTCTTCCAACACACATGAACAAGGCTATTAAAGACTTCAAGATTAGCAGAAACTTCTAGGTAGGTGTGTTTGAGCCAAACTCTGCAAGAAGGTGGCCCTCCATGAGCAGGACTGGACAACTCTGGACAACTGCAATCTTCACCTCAGGCACATGGAGGTGTATGTGGGAGCCCACAAGGAAATCGTTGTCAGGTTGTTCCTTCATGAGGAACGAGCGGGCAAATGTGAACGCAATCTTGGCGCTTTCTTTCATCACGTCTCCCAGCTGCCCGGTGAGCTCCAGCGATCCCTCTTTGGAACCATCTTTCCCTTGCGGTTCTCTCGGTCGCCTCAGAGATGTCTCGATGAAGAGCGTCGAGCCACCTGTGGAGGAGAGTAGAGTCGTTTCTTTGAGGTTTTGTGGGCTTAACATCTTTAGGAGTGTTCCCACCAATTCTGGTGCCACTAAGCGTTTCGAAAGTTCACCGGAAACTAGCGTACCAATCTTGGGCTTGAATGCTCTTGGTTGAACCCTTACCCATTGCCGTCCACGCCAGTCCCATGACAACTCCCGGCGGTGTGACGTCATACATCCGGTCCACAGTGAAGATGGGCTTCCCGACATAATCCTGAAGGTTCTCCGGAGTGACGTTGACCTCCGTTTCCTCGCCGTTGACAATCCGGAACGCTACTTTCCGGAACACCTGCAAAGGTACCAAACTTAGCTACACTTGCAGAACACTCATAAAGACGAGTAAGAAGTTAGTTGTACCTTCTCGACTTGCTTCTGAAGGTTCCTGACGCCGCTCTCCCGGCAGTACTGTCTGATGAGGACACTCAGAGCATCGGGGGTGATTTTCGCCTTCTCCTTATCCAAACCGCATAGAGTTCGCAATTGGGGTACCAAGTATCTCTGTGGTGGTTATAAAGGACTAAGTAAAGTCGAACTCTTGTGCCAACAGCATTGTATCCAGTAAAACTGACTCTCGGAAGCGACTTCCAGTTAGAGGGACAATCCCCCTGAAGCAGCTTGGGGTTTAAGTAGGGCTGGGCGATATGGCCAAAAAAATGATCACAAACTTTTTCATATAAATATCGCAATAAATTTCAAATCGTTCTTTCTTTCAAGTTTAAAGGCAGATTTTTGCTCCTAAGTGAAAGTTGTAGAAAGCAGACCAATAAATGTAGTTTGAAACGTCTCAGAACGTGACAAACTCTTCACGCTTTTCAATTCTTTAGACTTTTCCAGTCATTCTTCCTTAACAAAAATAAATATCAATATAGAAAAATGTATTTTATTGAAGCAGGTTTGTGTTCCTGACGTGCATCTTCAGCGCAGTTTGCAGTGCAGGCAGCAATATTAATAACAGTACATTGTTTTGTCTCTTAGAAATGCACATTTGACAGTAGCTCGATTTACGATGCAGATGTAAATTAATGTTCATTATCAAAAACAGTAACTATAGTATCTGTAAAAATGGTTACAACCTAATTATTATATGGTGAAATGTCATTATTCTGACTGAGTTTTCTTAAGATTAACCATTGGTCTTCCATAGTAGCATACATTTAGATCATGATAACCACAGTTAAAACCACACATACAGCACCCCAATACCATGATAAACATATAACTGTGTAACTGTGGTTTCTAGGTATTTGTAAGAAAAATACATTTAGTATAAATGCACAAATGCTATAGCTTAATCACAAAAAATGCTGAAATTAAGTATATGCCATTACTCCGTTAATACATATATGTCTACAATAATAACATAATAAAATCTTCTGACTGTCTCGTTGCACACAGTTTCATCTGGGCTCTAAACTAGTTTAAATCAGTCATTTGTGTTCTTTGTGGCTCACAGCTTTTTAATTACCGGTCTTGAACCTGCAACCTTCCGGTTGCCAGTCTTGAGCTTTAACAACTATCCCAGAGCCAAAAAGGACCAAGTCGAACTCTAATGCCAACTTCAAGTCATGCAGTGAAACAGTGAGACTTTGGAAGCGACTTGCTCAAGGCTCACTAACTACCGGTCTCGAACCAGCAACCTTCCGGTTCGAGTTTTACCGACTATAACAGATCCAAACTCTAAACCTGACCCAAGAACATGTTGAGTTTCAGGTAAAGAGATCACAAAGTAAACGTACCTCCGCAATGGCCAGTTTCTCCTGAGCAACGTAACCTGATATGTTGATCATTTCCATTCGGTCTCTTAAGGGTTCGGGAATGGTGTCGAGAACATTGGCTGTACAAATGAAAAGCACCTGAAAACACCAATGAAGATACAATGAAACCAGAGTCTCCTTCAAACAAATGTGGATTTTTGCTAGTTTATACCTTAGACAGGTCAACGGGCACATCCAGGTAGTGGTCAAGAAAGTTAGCGTTCTGTTCTGGATCTAAAAGCTCAAGTAGTGCCGAAGATGGGTCACCCTGGTAACCTCGGCCTATTTTGTCGACCTGCACAACAAGATTAATACAGTATCAGTCGTTTCAACATAATTAAGAACCAAAATTTTAGTATAAGGTAGGGTTAAGATTCTATTTGTATGTCGTGCCTCGTCAATAAGGACCAATGGGTTTTCAGTCTTAGTTTTCTTTAGACATTGGATGATTTTTCCTGGCATTGCACCAACATATGTTCTCCTGCAATGTGCAAACAAAAAACGTACATTACTGAATACTTAAAAGTTTGAAAATAAGCACATAATGGTCATTATCACATACCTGTGGCCTTTAATTTCCGCCACATCTGTCATGCCTCCCACGCTAAAGCGGAAGTATTCGCGATTAAGGGCTCTGGCGATCGAGCGGGCGATACTGGTCTTTCCAACTCCAGGAGGCCCATAGAAACACAAGATCTTTCCCTGTGTGCTGCCTCTTAGCTGGCTTACGGCTATGAACTCCTGCATGAATGAACAATGACTGGGGTTAAGAGGATTAAGCAAGCAAATTTTTCCCATTCTCAGGGGATAAAGGTTGAGGTGCTCATGCTTGTGTTTTACCAGAATGCGTTTCTTGACATCCTCCATTCCATAGTGGTCCTCTTCCAACACCTCTCTGGCTTGAGCCAACTTCAGGTTTTCCTCGCTGTTGGTGCCCCATGGCATGGAGGTCAGCCAGTCTAAGTAGTTACGGGTAACGCTGGGGATTTTGAGAGCTGGGGTTAAGAGGATTAAGCAAGCAAATTTTTCCCATTCTCAGGGGATAAAGGTTGAGGCGCTCATGCTTGTGTTTTACCAGAATGCGTTTCTTGACATCCTCCATTCCATAGTGGTCCTCTTCCAACACCTCTCTGGCTTGAGCCAACTTCAGGTTTTCCTCGCTGTTGGTGCCCCATGGCATGGAGGTCAGCCAGTCTAAGTAGTTACGGGTAACGCTGGGGATTTTGAGATGGAAAAAAGAAGAATCAAAGTTTGATTTAATAAAATACCACCTTAAAGAGGTCAAGTTTGTGGAACATGGCGGCTGGTTTGCTGCTGGTCTATCAGGTCAAAACTAGGTCAACCAGCTCGTAGTCTAACTGATCAGCCATCTAGTGCAGCTTAAGACCAGCTAGAATTCATGTACAACCATCCTAAGCTGGTTTTATTAACCTTTATGTGGTTCTAAGGTGGTCTACCAGGTCCACAAGCGGTTAGTCCAATGGATGAACCTTCTAGAGCAGTTTGAAGTAGCTAAAGACCAGCTAGAATCCATTCACAACTATCCTAAGCTGGTTTTATTAACCTTTATGTGGTTCTAAGGTGGTCTACCAGGTCCACAAGCGGTTAGTCCAATGGATGAACCTTCGAGAGCAGTTCAGAGCAGCTAATGACCAGCTAGAATCCATGCACAACCATCTTAAGCTGGTTTTATTAACCTTAATGTGGTTCTAAGGTGGTCTACCAGGTCCACAAGCGGTTAGTCCAATGGATGAACCTTCGAGAGCAGTTCAGAGCAGCTAATGACCAGCTAGAATCCATGCACAACCATCTTAAGCTGGTTTTATTAACCTTAATGTGGTTCTAAGGTGGTCTACCAGGTCCACAAGCGGTTAGTCCAATGGATGAACCTTCGAGAGCAGTTCAGAGCAGCTAATGACCAGCTAGAATCCATGCACAACCATCTTAAGCTGGTTTTATTAACCTTAATGTGGTTCTAAGGTGGTCTACCAGGTCCACAAGCGGTTAGTCCAATGGATGAACCTTCGAGAGCAGTTCAGAGCAGCTAATGACCAGCTAGAATCCATGCACAACCATCTTAAGCTGGTTTTAACGGGTTTTATCAACTTTGTTGCTGGACTAAGGTGGTCTACCAGGTCAAAACCAGGTCCACAAGCTAGTAGTCCAACAGATCAACCTTTTAGATCAGTTTGGATCAGATAATGACCAGCTAGAACCCATGTACAACCATCTTAAGCTGGGTTTTCAGCTTCTTTAACATTTTTATGGACATTAAAGGGCTCATGAATTGAGAAATCAACTTTTACTTGAGCTTTTGATGTACAAGAGATCATCGTGCTAAAAGAATATCCTCAAAGTTTCAGAACTGAAAACGTCCTCGTTACTGAAATAAAAGCTTTTATTGACACCAGGCCTAGCGAACGCCAGATCCTGGAATGTGCTTATCTATTATAGATAGGTTAATTAGTTTATAACAATGACAAACTCTTACTTGAACTCTGAGGAGTGGTTATCTAACAGTCCCAGTTTGTTCAGCTCCTCGTTAATTACATCCATGATGTGTTGAGGTACGGTCCGATCCTTCAGCCTCTCCCTGAACTTCTCCTCGATGGCGTCTTTGTCCTCTTTCTCCAGGCCGAGCTCCTTCTTAATGATCTTCAGCTGCTCCTGGAGGAGGTACTTCCTGTGCGTCTGCTTGATCTTCTCTTCAACCTGAGCATCGAGAGTCGAGCGGGCGTTAAATGAAAGGAAACCCAAACGAATAAGCAACAGCATGTCAAGAACTGTACTCATTTGTTCCCTCACCTCCCTGCCGAGACGCTGCTGTAGTTTACTCAGCTCGTATTCTTTCTTCAGCAGAGAAAGTGCCTTGTACAGTCGCTTGGGAATCTGCAAACACAGTTTCCATGTTAGATACTCATAAACGTTCAGCGAAACCCGTTTGGAGGTCATAAACGTACGTTTGTTTCCTCCAGGACGTCCTGTAGCTCGTGTGATTCTGCGCCGGTCAGTGCCGCCCCCATGTCGCTCAGGTAAATGGGATTATCCACCACTCTCTGACCCGCCTGCATCATCTGGAGCACAGACTCTCTACCAAACAAACATGTTCAGTAATAGCGCCTTAGCTTGCAGTTTTAAACACCTTCTTTATCTATATTACCTGTACAGTGGATTCAGAGCAATAATGTCACGGATAGTCTTGACGATCTCAGCAGTCAGGGCCTGGTTTGAAACAACAGAGTGTATGAGTTAATTCTGCAGAGGTGAAAATAAAAAAAATGAGTTAACATTTCTAATTTTTAATGTTTTATAATAAGCTTTGACTGAAATAAAATAAACTTCAACTACATGCTAAAAGCAAGATTTTTGTTTAGTTTGAGTTGAAGCACTAAAAAGATAAAATAAGCATTGGCCATTTAGCATGCATTTTAAATAATAATTAAAATTAAACAAAAAAAATATACCCATTTTAAAATTTTGACTGAAATAAAGTAAAATATATAAAAACTTAAACAGCTAGTTGATAAAGGCAACATTTTTCAATTTTGTTTAGTATAAGCCGAAGTACTAAAATAACTAGAACAAAAATAAAAAAGGAAAAATAAAGACAAATATGAAAAAAAAAAAAAAATGAAATACAAAAAAATAAAAGCTATATGGACATTTTAAAATAAAAATGTTAAAAACTATAAATTTGTAAAAGGCAACATTTCAAATTTTTGCTTATTTTAGGTAATAAAACAACTAAAGTGGAAATAAAAATGAATAAGCAGCATATATACATATTTTAAAATAAAATAAATGTTGACTGAAATAAACTAAAATAAAAAGTTCAACTTAAACAACCTAAAGTTCAGCTACTTGCTAAATGTTGTTAAAGTTTGAAGTACAAAAATAACCAAAACTGAAATAAAAAAATTTATTTTAAAGTTATATATAAAAAAAGAAATAATGACTCAAATTGAATTAAAAAAAAAAAATTATTATATATATATATATATATTTATAGTTATAGTTAACTATCATTTATAGTTAAGTACTAAATAACTAACACTAAAACCAAAATTATAAACTAAAATCTAATAAGAATGACAAAAACACACTACAAAATCATGAAAACTTTCAAATGAAATGAAAACAGAAAATATACGAATGAAAACTCTAACTGACCTTGACCTCTTCTGTGACCTGGAACTCCTCATGGACCACGTTGTCCACCTCCACCATGAGGACGCCGGGCAGAGGAAGCGCCTCCACCACGAGCTCCGCCTCCCGCACCTTCTCCTCCATCACCTCCGGCAGCGACGCCGAGTCCTTGCGCGACCGTTTCTGCTTCCGCCGCAGAGCTTTCGGCTGCTCGCCCTCCACCTCCAGCGACTCCGGCTCCTCCGGATCCACGTCCAGCTGCTTATTGATGCGGATTCTGGGAAACAACGGACAAAAGCTTTCCTGAAATACGCCGTCTTCTCAATTAGTGACATATCACACATTTTTTATAATAAAAAAAAAATAATTATAATAAATAAAAAAAATTTAAAAAACAATAAATAAAAAAAAATACAATAAATTTTTTTTTTAAAAATATTTATTAATTTTACAAATTACTACATTTTTAATTTCCCTCTAGAGGTTCATGATGGAACTGCAGTTGTTATAAAAATTACAATTAAATAAATATAAAAATATAATTTCCATTCGTGTTAAATTAAATAAAAATAATAAATATATTAACATTTATTTTCCCCCAAAATAAATGTGTAAATTGTTTATTGTTATATGTTATTTAATTTAGTTATTATTTATTTATTACGTAATTATGACAGCCAACACTGTTATTCTATTTCACCTTATTATCACTAAAGCCTAGCAACTAATCTAGGACATGCTAACAACATGCTAGCAATGTGCTAAATCATGTGATAAACATGCAAACAATGTGTTAGATCATGCTTACATGCTAAAACATAGCAGTGTGTTAAAACATGTTAGCAACATGCTAGCAGCGTGCTAAAACATGTGATAAACATGCTAGCAATGTGTTAGTTCATGCAACATAACAGTGTGTTAAAACATGTTTGCAATGAGCTAGCAGCATGTTAAAATGTGATAAACACACTAGAAATGTTAAATCATGCTAACATACTAAAACATGCCAACAATGTGATATGCTAGGAATATGTTAAATCATGCTAAAAATGTTCTAAAATATGTTAGCGGTTTTAAAACATGTTAACAATATGCTAACCGTTTGCTAAATCATGTTCGCAACATTCTAAACCATACTATCAGCATGCTAGCAACATGTGATTAACATTCTAGGAATGTGTAAAATCATGCTAACGTCGGACCTACGATGTTCGCACAGCGGCCGAAAAAGTGGGCGAAAAAAATCCTTACATTGACAGAATGTTCGTGAATTTTAATCTCACTCATGACTTATCTTTTCAAGTAACCAATATATAATGACCTATAATCTTCATAGCCACACCCTAGCAACCACTTACAGCACCCTAGCAACCACCCCATAGACTTCCATTTAAACCGATCAAAGGGGATATCTTTGGATAGAAGTGTCATAGAAACATGGGTGTTTTGCTCTTTTGACACATACTAGCAAACAGGGCTTCCATCATGCATGCTACACATGCTAGCAGTGAATAGCTACATGTTAATAGTGATTAGTTAGCTAAATGATAAATCAGGCTAAGAACATGCTAAGAAATCTATAAAACTCCATAGTGACGATCTGTGACAACCACCAACCACCATGCTAGTAACCACCCAGAACATCCTGGCAACCGCCCAGAATATCCTAGCAACCGCCTAGCAACGCCATAGCAACCACCCAGAACTCCCTAGCAACCGCCAAGAATCACCCTAGCAACCGCCAAGAATCACCCTAGCAACCACCCAGGTTACCATAGCAACTGCCAAGCAACCACCCAGGATACCCTAGCAAACAGCTAGCAACACCATAGCAACCACCCCAAACACCCTAGCAACCGCCCAGCAAACACCCAAACCACCCAGAACACCCTAGCAACTGCCTAGCAACCACACAGAACACCCTAGCAACCACACAGAACACCCTAGCAACACCCTAGCAACATCTCATAACGCCCTAGCAACCACCCAGAACACCTTAGCAACACCCTAGCAACAACTCATAACACCCTAACAACCACCCAGAACACCTTAGCAACACACTAGTAACCACCCAGAACACCCTAGCAACAACTCATAACACCCTAGCAACCACCCAGAACACCTTAGCAACACCCTAGCAACCACCCAGAACACCCTAGCAACAACTCATAACACCCTAGCAACCACCCAGAACACCTTAGCAACACCCTAGCAACCACCCAGAACACCCTAGCAACAACTCATAACACCCTAGCAACCACCCAGAACACCTTAGCAACACCCTAGCAACCACCCAGAACACCCTAGCAACAACTCATAACACCCTAGCAACCACCCAGAACACCCTAGTAACCACCCAGAACACCTTAGCAACACCCTAGCAACCTCTCAGAACACCCTAGCAACCGAGTGCTGTGTTTTGCCACTGCTTTCAATTATTATTTATTGAAAGGCCTCAGCTTCCTCAGGGGGTAATTCAATAAAATAATATAGCTAATGAGTTAATTTAACTAATATAAACAGTGACTCCCTTCTTTAAAGGTAACGTGACAGATTTTGAGCATCACCTTCTGTGTCCCATCACAATCATCCGAAGTTTGTCTCCGAGGTCCTGCATCTCGTGGATCTGCACAAACGTCCCGGTGTGATAAACCGCATCCAGACTCTCCACCACATCCGACTCGTTACTGACAAACACACACACCAGGATCAACCACAGTCCGTCAAACTCATTATCTTGCTGTTCAACTCTTGCACAATCACTTACTTGTCATCCTTCTTCAAGAAAACACCAGCATATGGCTGAGCGAGACGCACTTTACCCCTCAACAGGTCCATGAGAGGCTTGTTTTTGACCTAAAGATGCCAAAACATTCACAAATGCATGCATTTAAGTGGTTTCATTCAATACTAAAAATGTAAAAAGTTACAAATAGTATATGTAGTCTTTCAATTAATCAATAAAGATGTTAGTATCCCCTATACGGATATACAGCT